ATGCTCTGATATTAGCTATCTCAGACCATTGTGGAACTAAAAGTGCTGATTGCCTGGTGAGGTGACTGGCAGCTGGTGGTCGAGTGACTACTGAAGTAGTTCCACAAAGTTTTTCTCTCATCACTTGAAGACAACAAAAAAGTGTTACATTATTACCGTTACTGACTCTAAGGGTTTGGCTATATGAATACTTAGTTAGCAGCAAGCTAGTATAAATCTACCCCACACTAACCTTCTCACGCACTAAGCATCCACGTGAACCCTGCTGCCGTGCACTAAAAGTTCCTTTGTGTACTTTGATCTACCCCACTTAGAACAAGGAGTAGATTAAAGTGCACTAAGGAACATTTAGTGCATGACAGCAAGGTCCTCACAGACACTTAGTGCACAGCAGGCTATTGTAGGGTAGATTTACACTGCAGGTTGCTGCAAACTATGTGTTCATACACACAAGCCCTAAGGTTATGAAATTTCATTTACTTTGAACTCTGTAGTTGTTTCCTCTGTAAGACAGCACACCTCTGATGTTGTCATAGGTTGTGAAGAAAGCACTGTTGGTAGATAGATTTCCACCACTTCAGTAATTTCCCATCTGTTTAGGGCACTTCCCATAGATAGCTCTCATCACTGCAGTATCTTAGCTCTCACAAACATAACTGAATTTATCCTCACAACAGCATGCGTGATAAGTACTATCCCAGTGGGAAACTGAGACAGGGAGATTAGGTAATTTGCCACAGCCACAGGAATTGAACCATGATCTCCTTAGTTGCAGCTCATCGCCTTAACCAGAAGATTATCTTGCCTCAAATCTCTTCAAATGAGGAGTTTGTGCATTTAAAATACATTTACTTGTAATCCAGTTTGGCTGCCATGGTTCTCTCCGGATTTTCTATGGCTTTACAAAATGTAAGAAGAGAATCATCTTGTTAGCTTTCTTTCTTTCCTCTCCTGTCTCAACATCACACACCAACACCTGGGGAACTACCAAACCTGGCTGCTGCAGATGTTGCAGTAACTCCTCTATGTGCAACAAGGCTCTTCAAAAATAAGATTCAACTGGGCTTAATTTGACTGAAGTATTGGGATCCCTTCTACACACCTAGCTTCTCTAAAAATGCCAGAAAACACTATATCATATGTGGCCATGAGACTATGCAGAAAGTTGAGTCATTCAATATTTAACTTGTTCCTGCTCATAAAAGGTGCCATAGCAAAGAATTTTTCACTGTCATCTGTCCCTACTACCATCTTTGCTCTTCCACGAAACACAAGTATTCAAGCCCTTCTCTCCAATAAGCACTAGTGGGAATACCTCTTTTCATTAGCTGGCTATCTATTTAAATCAAATTCTGTTTAAGGGAGACAAAGGCTGAAGCCTGAGAGTCAAAGCTATTTTAAACACAGATAGGTCTCAACATCAGCCCACATACAAACAGGAGAGAGCACCTCAGCCATCCTCTCAGCTCACTACTCACAGTGCCAACTGTTTCATCACACTCAGTCAAGCACTGAGGGTGCAGTGTATAGGAATTGGGTAATAGCTGTTTAAACAGTTAATGAGCCCTCTAGTGGCCATCAGTGTCTTTTGTGTTTCAGAAGCCACCAGAACTCCGCAGAACAGCCGTGTATACATATAGCTAGGCCTTGTATGTTATATATGATTAGCAAACTTTTGGGTTGTTTCTTCGTACTATGTATGGGTGTAACATGCAAAAGGCACAACAGAGTAATATGTGGCTTCTGTGGGATGCTCTTTGCTCTCGCCACTTAAAGTACCTTCCTACCAGTTGAAGAGAAGCAGTTCATTACAAGCTGTGCATGCATTGACACAAGCACAGTAATTGTTATCCGTACGACAGTGATGAGCACAGTAAATCAAAGGACAGGAAGGAGCTTTTAAAAACTGATGCTGCATTTCTGTTTTGTCTTGTGATGATGATTTATCTATACCTTTTGCTTTCACAGGGCTTGAAGGGAGTTATATATCCCATCAATTTCTCTACAGGCAGAAGGAGCTTCTGAAAAGAGGTAAATACTTTGCCTGTTATTACACATTTAAGATGAGGTTGTGCCCAATCAGCTCCAATCAGGAACAGGGACTGATTGTACAAGGCACTGAACAAAACACATAATAAGAAAGTCCCTGCATCGAGGAGCTTATGTAAAACACTTTATGAATTCGGACTGCAGGGTTTGCCTACAAAGAAATAGTAACTCGCAGGGTCCCAGAGTTCGGCCTCCAACCCAAGCCCAAATGTCTACAGAGCAATTTTTCAGCACCAGAGCCTGGGCCCCATGAGCCCAAGTCAAATGACTCAGGCCTGCTGTGGGTTTTTTGTCCTTATGTATACATACGCATAGAGTGAGGCAGCAGTGCACATGCTAAGTGCATTAGGGAGCTTTTACAGTAAAAATGTAGGCACAGAGTGAGTTTAAGTACCTACAGTATTAGGTGGCAACTGAATGGGGTTCTTGTGGTTAGCAGTGATGCCTCAAACTGGGCTTGATTGCAGTGGCAGCCGGTGACTTTTGTGGCAGGTGAAGCACATATATCACAAAATCTCACAAATACCAATATTTGTCCTCCTCCTTGCAGACCTGGCCAGGGGTCTCAGCTCTGCCCCACCAGGACCAATTTGTGCCTGTAGGGATCCAGTGTCATGGCCCCACTCCCTCACTCACCAGCCAGTACGGTTGCCAATTTTGATTGGATGTATTCCTGGAAGTTTCATCATGACATAATCTTTAATTAAAGATTAATCTTTAATTCCTGGAGACTCCAGGACAATCCTGGAGAGCTGGTAACCCTACCAGCCAGGAGTGGGGGAACCATCCCCAGAAACGAACCGTTCAGTAGCATGGTGGCCTTCCCCACAGCCAGGTACTCATTCTCCTCTTTGCAGTCCAGGATGGGGTCTCTGCTCTGCCAGGCCAGGACAACTCCAGCATCCCCCACATCTTCTGCCACGGTGTCTTAGGCCCTTCGGCCATGCAGGGAGTTCCCTCCTGCCGTACTGTGTCAATGTGGGGAGCAGGGCCGGCTCCAGGGTTTTGGCCGCCCCTAGCAGCCAAAAAAAAAAAAAAAAAAGCCGCCATCGCGATCTGCAGCAGCAATTCGGCGGAAGGTCCTTCGCTCCGAGCGGGAGTGAGGGACCGTCCGCCGAATTGCCGCCGAATAGTTGGACCTGCCGCCCCTCTCCGGAGTGGCCGCCCCAAGCACCTGCTTGCCAAGCTGGTGCCTGGAGCCGGCCCTGGTGGGGAGGGAGACTCCCTCAGCCCTGCTGTCAGAACCAGCCTTAACTGCTGCAGTCCTGCTGCCGCTTCACTAAGCCATGGTTACCACAGCAACACACTCATAAAGTGACTGTTGGGCTTGGTAAATTGCCATGGCCATAAGGCAGCTTCCTGAAGCAATATTAGGAATACCACAATTTGGGTGTCACCCATAATACTACATTTTCTGGTATCGTGTTTTACTACAGAGTTGGAAAGAGTGAATAATGTGATGGATTTAAATCAAATCACAAGCCCTTCTTGTGGACTTATGGTTCTTATTTAATATGTAACTGTTTAACTTGCCTTAAAACTCTGCACAAATAATGGATTTTTCAGTTTGCTGACAATTTAAAAAAATTGTTTCAGGTCGAACTAAACATGAAATTTTAAAAAATATTTGGTGACTCAAAACGTTTTAAAAAGTAATTTTGGGTTGAAATGTTTTGTTTTGATTTCAAGCATTTTTAAATGTTTTGACTGGTTTTTTTAAATAAAATTATAGGAAATTTTGTACAAAGTCATTTTGAACTGAAAAATCAAAAAGGTTTTCTTCAAAAATGTCAAAACAAAATGTTTAGACTTTTTTGAATTTTTTTTAGAATTTTTTTTGACAAATAATTAACTAAAACTGACATGAATTCACAAAACATTTTGATGCTGCTGACTACATTTTTCTGAAAAAAGTTGTGTGAAAATTTCATCCATCCGTACTCCTAAGCACTTATAGTTAAAAAAAAAAAGCCTTTGATACCTTTACAAAAATTAAATAAATATGGCTTAGCATGTCAGTTCTAGTATTCTGAATAAATTATCTCACATATTCTGCCTATTTAAAATTCTTCATGGAAAAAATACAGTATTTTATTTTCTTCACTTTCTATCTTAAACTATGTGCAGTTAACAAGCTGTTGCATTCACCCCATAATTGTCTGCATTTCACTGACGGATGATGAGATTCCTGAATCTAGTTTGTAAAGAGTTTTAGGGTGAGAGGCACTATATAAATGTTAGCTTTGTTATACTAAGATGATTCTTAACTGTAACTATTTACTTTCCTTCAGGCAGCAGAGGCAATGACTGGCTCGAATTAAGTGAGTATTTCATCAGTCATAATGGTTTCAGAGTAGCAGCCGTGTTAGTCTGTATCCGCAAAAAGAACAGGAGTACTTGTGGTTGGAGATCCTGTTCCTGATGGCTTGTAGACAACAAGTACTCCTGTTCTTTTTGAGTCACAAGTGGGTAAAAGCTATAGGAAGAGAACCCTGAAGGGAGCAAAATTCCCTGTGCAGCAGAGATCAAGGAGAAAAATTCTCCTCTGCATCCCCATCTCTGCTCATGATTTGCTTATAATAATTATCAAAACCTTGCTCTTGCTTATACACAAAATGAAACAAAGTCAGCTAAAGTCATTCAGCAAAAATTGCACTCAGTGCACTGATTATATGCTTTGGCATTCCTGTTTATTATTTATCTACATTGGAATTTCAACTGAAACACCTTACTCCTAGTTATCACAGCATTCCTGTGTTTATAGAAAATACCATTTATGGCACTATCTCCATATGTCCCACTAATACCTATTTGGTGAATGGAAAATAGGCAAGATCCAAACAAGCTAGGCTCGCTAGCAAGTGCAAAGAGGAGTATTGTATTAATGTTAAAATATGCAAGGTTTGGCTGGAAAGATTAGTGGTAATATTTAACCAACTCCTATTTTCCAGATGATGACAGTGAAGAGTCCAGAAGTGGAGAAGATGATGCTATGCTGCGTTCAGGTAACAGTTTCTTTTACACTTGCTGGATAAAAGTGGTGAAGTATTTTGTAAGGACCGTCCTTGAGAAGGAGTTAGGGTGACGATTGTATCCTTTAGAACAGATTGAAAAATAAAGTGAAAAATGTCATGGAAAATGCCAATGTTTTGAAGTTGTTTCCATTTTGCAAGTTTGAAATTGGGTGGGGTGATTTAAATAATATTTTCAAAAATAATCAATTTAAATGAGGTTTAGGCTTTGTAAAACTAATTTTAAAATTTGTGTTATTGCAACTTTAGATTAAAATTTATAATAAATGCTTTTTTAAAAAAAAATACCACTACTGATAAGGTCTCTTACTTGAATTTTACAAAACAGCTACAAGCAAAAAAAAAAAACCAAACTATTGAAAATTAAGGTCCTGATCCTGTTAACACTTTAGCAGGTTAACTCACATGAATCATTGACTTCAGTGGGACTACTCATGTGCTTAAGTATGTACCGCTAAATGTTAGCAGCATCAGGAGCTAAAAGTATATTTTTTATTTAAAAATTCTTTTAGTGGCATACAATCTTTGCCACTTCAAAATGAAATTTTATCACAGTAACTGTGAAAAATTATTTAGACTTTCAATACTTTGTTATTGTAAACTTTTTTATTCACACAAGCCAACATTTTCAAAAATACAAAACTCAAGTTAGGCTCATAAACCTGAATTTAGGCAACTAAGAGTGGGATTTAGGAAGGCATCTAAGTGATTTAGGAGCACAAGTCCCATTTACTTCAAACCACAAACCCTGATAGCCTGCTCTCAATGTCAGGATATTTATGAGGCCTTGATATAGTCTTTACATCATACATGAAGATTTAAAATGTGAACATTCTTGGTAAAATATGAAATTTTAACAATTAGGAAACAAAAGAACCAAGTACTAAACATCCTTTTTAGCAATTTAAAACATTAAAATGGGACAAAAGTAAAACACTAGAAACATGTAAATCCTTTAAAAACCAATTTAAATAAAACTTTTCTGTATATTTTTTTAAATCATAATTTTTATACACCCTGTTTCAAAATGAACCCATTATTCTGTGCAATTTTTCTCCATTTTTTTAACTGAAATGGTTACTCAAAAGTTTATCAAGACCATTATCAAAATGGTTATTGGAATATTGTATTTAATGAATCAATAACTATTTTGATTAAAACATAGGGGTTTCAGGAAAACCACGGCACAGTTCAGTTCACTATATTATTTACCCACGCACCCCCCACTCCCACATGGCATGTCTGGCTGAAGGCTAACCATGTCTCTGCCAGCTCATTATTATTATGTGATATACCAATTGCATCTACACCTCCAATTTTTACCCCAAAATATCTCATGCCTTTAAGATTTGGGCTGGTTCTATCAAGGACAAGTGATTACATTACACACAACTAAAGCTGTGCAAATAACAGATTTTTCATTTCACTGGCAATTCCAAAAATATCAGAAAAAGTTTTGTTTCAGGTCAAACCAAAAATAATTTTTTTTAAAATTTTCAGCAAATCAAAAAGTTGAGAAAAAAGTCATTTGATACCAAACAAGATCTTAATGTTTCATTTAACATGTTTCATGAAACATTTAGATTTTGATAATTTTTCAATGTTCAGTTTTTAAAATAAAATTGAAGGAACTTTTGAAACAAGAATCAATTTAAAAGATTTAAATGTTTTCTTTTGAAAATGTAATGAAATGGTTTGATGTTTTCACGTTTTTTCCAGCCAAAACAATTTTTCCAAAACAACATGAATTTGTGAAATGGTCCTGTGTTGCCAAATCTGCATTTTTCACCCAAAAAAATGTGTACCAAAAAATGTCACCTAACTCTACACCTCACTGTCACTAATCGGGTCCCCTGATCGCCATCTCAACAAATTCCAGAGACTGAATGGGCATGTGGACATGAACCCTGAGCTACCCTCTCCAGTATTTAGATATAGTCCCTCAGAATTAGAGTTGAGCAGTAACTAAAGTAGGAAATGCCAGCCAAGGAGGAGAGGGGACTGTAGGGGAGCAATGCTTTCCCAAGTTATGGAGAGATGGAAAGCTCCCCTCTACTTATAGCAAAGGAAAGAGAAAGAGAACTGCACAACTCCCCAAACTTCCTTCCTTTAACCCCTGGGATTAAGACACATTTTCTGGGGCAGTGAGAAGGAAGATTGCAGTGGTGTTGTCCATGCTGTATTTGCCCTGTGTATAAATAGACAGCCCAAATGTGTTTCAGAGCATCTTTCACCAGCACTGTATTGAGTTAAAATTTAAGGAGAGAAAAAAATCAGATGCTTTAATGCAAATGTCATTCACGGACAAAAAATAAAGGAGAAGAATTAAAGGCATATAGATACTCTGGAAAAAGAATAGATCCTAAACTGAATATAAATTCAGTTTCTCTGAGAGTTTATGTAAATTCTAAGCTCATCAGCTTTTCCTGCTATTAGAACACGACTGGTAGTGTTTGGAATGCATGTCAGTCTCATCAAACATGGCACAAGATAACCTAAATACATTTTCTCTTTCATTTCTTAGACAAGGGCTCATGTTCTACCTGGGGTGCAGGGCATTTCTCCACCTTTGATAATTATTTGTATGACTTCTCTGGGTCCTGCAACTACATCTTCACCACCGTATGCAATGATGTTAGCCCGGACTTCAACATCCAGTTCCGCCGCGGGGTGAACAAAAAAATTACAAGAATCATCATGGAGTTGGGACCTGTCGTTGTCACAGTTGAAAAGAACATCATTGCACTCAAGAATGTTGGGTAAGCTTCAGGGATATATCGAATAGCAGTGGGTAAAGAAAGGCAAAGTGCTATGTGAGATACACTAGATAAGTCTGTGATTGTACTGCAGGGAAAGCTCAGTCTGTCCATTTCACTTATCCATTTCGTGCCCAAAATGGATTAATAAATTAGAAATCAGACACAAATGACCTAGCTAGAGACTGACTTTATCTCCTCCTACCAAAGCCAGATTCTAACTGCCAAATAAATGTAAACCAAGCATAGACTACACCTGTACAGTGTGAAGCCAAAAAAGCAGGTGAAATTTCTCATCTCGCAATAATTCCCAAATTAAAACTACATTGACTTAAAGCTTAGCAATCCTCTTAAGTGAGCCTAGTTCTAGTTTCAAATTCACCTGGGCCAGCTCATGAAACTAGGTGAAATTTAGAGGTTTAGGTGTGTTTTGCTTTGAGGTAATTTGAATTTCAATGACCGTGAACCCAAACTTATGAGTGTTGCACTTCTGTAGGGGAACAGAAAATAGGGGAACATCTGGAGACTTGCTGGGAACTCCCTACTTGCTATGGCTGCTTTCTGGTCTCATTACTGCTGGAACTATCCCCTCCAGAAGGCAGCAAATTCATGGGAAACGGTTTGCTGGGGAGATTTGGGAAATGTGTTCATTGCCATCCAGAAGCTGAAATTCCCAAAATGAAATTTCAGCAATGTTCATGAGTTGGGCAACTCTGAGTTTTTGCCTATGGATGAACGCAGAGGAAGGATATGGATGGCTGTATAAAGTTTGTATATTATATTCACCCATGTATTTACAACTATCGTCAGCAGAAAAACAAGACTTGTACCTACAGCTGGACACATTTTTTTCAACTAACAGTTAATTCGCTTTGTATAAATCAATAGCCATTGGTTCAGGGACTTGAGTCTCCCACCTCTCAGGCAGGCATCCTAACCACCTCACTATTGAGTCTCTCTCTGTCTCTCTGGCCCAATAACAAATTATTTATCGACATTGGATCAGCTTCAACCAGAGAGACTCACATGAGAATATCCCATAGCCCAATGGCTAGAGCACTCTCACGCAACAGGGGATCCCTTCTCACCACCAGGTAAAGGGGAGAATTGAACCTTTACCTCCCACGTGAGTGCCTCTAACCACTGGGCTAAAGCTGATAAGAGAAGTGGTACCAGTATCGTCATATGTTATGTGAATCTAGCTCCTTTAAAAACACCCAGGAACAAAATGTTTCTGGTCAGACAAAATGTTGCATAAGACCTGAAGTGGACTTCTTTGCTTTGCCAAATTCTTTTTGAAGTTTTCAAATTCAGTTAGACTCAAACCAATTTCTTTTCCAATTCTTTGGACCTGCCAGTGAACCAAAAAAATTAATTCACCCAGCTGCTCTTGTAACTGTACCTCAATTTGGCAAACTGCACTGAAAAATACTTGGCTTACCGATTGATTTGCAAGGACAACTGTGTAAATGAATGGAACTAGCCCCAGAGCCTGCATTTTAAACTTGGTGTCCCCAGACTAGCAATGATGAAATATATTCAAAACATATTTATATTGGTTCTTTTTTTTCACTGGTCTCTAGCATTAGAATTCAGCCACTAGTCCCAAGTCCCGTTCTTGCTACACAGCTCCCATTATGCAACTCCTCCTCACAGTGCCAAGCCTCAGCACTGAGGAATTCCTATATTAACATAGACTGTGACTCTCATGACCTTTTCAGGGTAATGACTGACAGCTACTAGTACTCAGACAATATGTGTCTGGAGGTACCTATGAAGAGATTAGCAATTGCCTTATAAAAACCAAACCAAGCTGAGCTCTACTGTTAATATATAGCATTATTCCCCCCATCCCAATGTTCATATCCCATACTGATTTTTAATATTATAATCGGGCTTTAGCTGTATATCGTTGGTCCTTTTTTTAAGCAGCTGATTGTCTTGCATTCAGTAGCAGTTTTCAAATATCCTGAAATGTCCCAGCTATGAGGGAACAAATTTCTTTCTTAATTTGCCACCAAATACCACGTGGTACACAGATAGCTATGCAGTATCTCCATTACAAACAATGACTGTCCAGTTGTAGCTGATACTAGTGCATACACTGTTACATAATAGGATCCATTTTTTTCCTCTTCCTCATAACAGTATCATCAAGTTGCCATACACCAGCAATGGAATCCAAATTGCTCCTTTTGGACGCACCGTCCGCCTGGTGACCAAGCTGATGGAGATGGAGCTGGAAGTCGTCTGGAACAACGACGACTATCTCATGGTGAGTAAAATCTTGTCACAAAGCAAAGGAGAAACTTTTGCTGGAATACTAAAGACTCACTATCCCTAAGTGGGTGTCTTGACATGCATTCATTGTTTTTATTTGGACTAAGATTGTGAATGTGCCCTTTAAAGTCCTTAAATGTATGGCATAATGGCTCATAGCCCTCCAAGGTGAGGGCAGTATAGGCATTTACTCACCTTATTAATGGATGTATACATAGGGGGACAGTTAGTGCACATAAAAATACATAAAACCCAGTTTTCTTCTCACTGGCTATAATGCAGGTTAGTAACAGATATTGTCATTACTTTTATGTGCTTCACTGATATTCCAGAGAGGTAGAGGGAGTCATGTTGGGTATCTAGATATAGAAATAAATTACTTGGGACTAGGTTGAAGACCATATTACTTCTGAGAGTATGATCAAGTATCTACTTGTCTTTAAAGAAATGTAGTACGGTACATGATGAGCATGGGTCTAGCCTAGAGCACCATCTTGTACACTTCTTTGCAGGAAATTCAGGCCCAATTCTCTTCTCATGTACACTGGTGTAAATCAGCAGCAACTTCATTGAAGTCAGGGGAGTAAACAGAGTGACACAGGAGTAAAACTGAAACAAATAAAAGAAGAATTAAATGCTCCATTTTTAAGAACAACTCCTGTTTCTCCAGTGTCCAGGGCTGTGAATATCATGGAGGTGGAGTTTAGAGAAAGCAGGGAGAAATGTAAAACAAATGTAATGGACAAGGACAAAAACTTACAAAGTCTTCAGACCCCTGTCTGAGCAGATCTGTTGAGCTGATGCCCATTTCCTCTTACTCTCTCTACACCGGCTATGGAAGAAAGAAGAGCAATTGATGCTCTGAAGCCCTAAGGCATCGTTGCAGCAGAAATATTATCCACCTAGCCCATGTCTACCTCCACACAATTTGCAATGCTTGTTCAGGACAAACTCAACAGTGGAACAGCAATAAGTGCTTGCAGGTCAGGATTGAGATGTATTGATAGTGCTGTATGGTGGAAACTAGCACATGGCCTTCATACATCTTGCCTTCTTACAGCTATCATAATAGGCCCTCACTTTAAAGAGTACCAAATCTACCACCTCATTAAAGGATACCAAACAGATATATAAAATATATTGATAAACCCAAGAAATCTGGTCAACATGTTCTTTTAAAAAAATATTCAATACCTGGGTTTGCTCTGGCATAGATGTGAATGCCAGATCCACATTTCTTATAACCACTTACTGAGTAGAGGAAAAGAGTACCTGACTGGGAAAAGGAGCATATCACTTTCAATTCTCTTCCCTCAAATCACAGAAATTAACTGAAAGGGGTGACTTTACCTGGGTATCCCAACAAAAGGTTAGTTGAGAAGATATCTTGGCCCACAGACATTTCTTAATTATGATATTTCCTTTTGTTTCTTTGTTTTTAATTTTAGGTTATGGTTGAGAGAAAATATATGAGGAAAACTTGTGGAATGTGCGGGAATTTTGATGGACAGGAACTAAATGAGTTTCTGAGTGAAGGTAAGAGCTAAGGCCAAACCAAACACAAGGGGCTAACCACACCAGATCAATGAGCAAATTTAACAGCTAGAAGATTCCTGTGCTCAGATTATCCATACTGTTTCTGAAGTAAATAAGACCCCCACATAATTCACCAACAGGCCTATCAACCATCACACCCTGGTACTCCAGAACAGGGCCAATTTCTCTTTGTATTACAGTAACCTCTAAGGGCCCTCAAATCAGTTATCAAACCACTTTGTGCTAGGCACTGTACAAATGTGGTAAAGAGCAATCACCCTGCCTCAGGGAATTTACACAATCTAGGTCTATGACAAGACATGACATGTGGATGAAACAGCCAAAGTGGGGAGAATGAGGTAACAGTAAAACAAACATGTTTTTTGCACAACATTCTGTAGTCTTAGCTCAATACTTGGCTAGTCTTTGTCAGATGCAGTTTACTGTACACATCACAGAGGTGAGTTTTAAGGAGGGAACTGAAGGGCAATACGATAGATTTAAAGAGTTTGATTAATTTTACCCCACTTGTAGAGGCCATCACAGAAGAAAGCTTACTTCTCCCACAAACACCTTCACCCTAACAGGCAGTAAAAAGAGGTATTGTTGGCAGAGCAAAGGCAGCAGTAGGCATTTAGTAAGATAATAGATCTGATAGGTAAGATAGGGCTAACATGTGAAGGGCCTTAAAAGGTTTTAAAAAAATCTTGTTTAACGTGGTGGAAAAAATGGAGCCCATGGAGGGAGTCAAAAAGAGGGATGACATTCTCAGAGTTGTGAGCCACATAGAGGATTCTAGCCGCAGCCTTTTGAATGGACTTCCATGTGGGCAGAGAGGCATAGTTGTAGTCATCAATGCCAGGGGAGAAGTAGGTTGCAAGTAGTCAAGATGAGAGTTTTGGTGATGTGGAGAAAGAGAGGAAAGGCCAGATCTTAGATATATAAGGTAGGAAGAATCTTCAAGATTTAGGCACATCTTGGGTCTAGAGAGTGGACTGAGTCAAAGATGATACCCAGATTTCAGACAGGAGTGATGGGAGAATGGTGTTATTGTCCACGTTGACAGAGAAAGGGAGGAGAGAGGAGCACTTAGAGGGACATTGAATGTTCAGTTTTGGGTTGAATTTAAACTTGATAGCTGGACATCCATAAGGAGTCATCCAAAAGATACACTGAGATTTGGATTTGAACAGAGGAAGACAGGTAGAGAAGTAGATTTGTGAGTCATATAGCTACTTATTAGCAGGTAACATAGGAACTTTACTAAAGAGATTTGATAAGTGACAGTTTATATCATCCAACACCTTTCAGGCAGCATAAGTGCAGGAGCTGGCACATACATTGCTATTCTCATCTGGATGCTCCAGGCTGATATCCGCTTTTAGGGAGTGCAAGCAACAGCCTCAAACACAACTAATCGTGGAAATCGAATTTTTCCCCAAACCCAGTACATACCAGCAATCATGTCTTCCATTAAGTGCCCACACACTTCCTTTCAATGTAGATCTGCTGGTATGGTCTTATTATAAATTATGTTCCATTATTTTTAGCAACATATTTAACTACACAGTTGCTCACTAACACATTGTAGGGTGAGAAAATCGAACGTGTTCTGCATGGCAGTGCAGGACACTACCATCAGCTCATCAAACTAGTCTAGATAGACCTTTTTTCTACTCTGTACCTCAACTTGCAGGTAGATTGCTGGATGCATACCAATTTGCCACTTTACAAAAAATGGATGACCCATCAGAGATCTGCCCATCTGAGGAGATGGCAATTCCCAATATTCCTCGCAAAAAATATGTAAGTATCACTTTTCTGGCCTTGCCTACAGCATAAACTTGAACAGAGAAGTAGATGAATTGGGAATCATGAACTCAGAGATGGTAGTTGATAGGATAGTGGTTAACATCACCAACAGATTCAGTGTATGGAGATGAAGAAAAGAGGCTCTTTGCACCAGAATGCATGTGTGACCCACCCACCTCATGGGTGTGGTGTTCTGTCCCATCTAGTGGAACCGAGACCACTTAGAGAGAGAGATTAATGGAGTTTGCTCTACAGCCTTAACTAATGGCCAGTTGGCTTTTAGCTCATGTGGTAGAGGCTCATGCACTAAGCTCCAAAGGTCCCCGGTTTGATTCTGCCCGCCGATGACCGGAGCCTGTCGGTGTTACAAGTGGGGGCTTGTCCAGGATTTCAACTGGGAAGTCTCTGAAGCACGGGGTGTGCTTCCTCAGTGAGGGGAAGTATGTAATCCACACATCTCCTGGGTGTGGTGTTCTGTCCCCTCTAGTGGCACTGAGACCACTTAGAGAGTTTGCTCTACTGCCTTAGCTAATGGCCATATGGCTTGAGGCTCATGCATTTAGCTCCACAGGTCCCAGGTTCAATCCTGCCCACTGAAAACTGGGGTCTGTCAGCGTTACACATGTTTTAAACAGTCCAGAAATACAACCAGGTGTGGATTTATACAGCTCACAAATGGAAACACAAAAGCTTAGCACCCAGCTTTCTCAGCCTACAGGTCCTTATACAAATCCCGCTGAGGTCAGTGTGGTTTCGCTGATCTTTGTATTAGGCCAGTATGACTCCCCACTAAGTACTGTGTAAACTCAAAGACATTCAGTGTGCAATGATCATTTTACCAGACAGCAGCATCTCACATGGTGTCTGTCACCATCAAGTGAAATTACACTAGAGGGGTGATGGATGAGCACTTGTAACCATGGAAGCACAGAATCCATTGTACTGTGGATAATGGGGGCAGAGGTGGGGGAGGCAGGAGACAGTTGAGAGGTATAAGACCAGCATGGATGTCAAGGGATCTGCAGAACCCACAGCAGTTTCATGTGGAATAAACCCATTCTTCTCACTAATGGAGTTTCCGCTATCTCATTGCATCACAGATTTTCCTATCTAGAAGATTTTCTGGAGTCTAGTTAATACCACGTACCTAAAAAGCAAATACTTATTTTTATCTTTGAAATGGTGGTGCAGATTACAGATATGCTTGTTAATTTTGGACTAATTGTAACTGTGTGTCAGAATATGCATTTATATTGCAGCTGTTATAAAATGGTTATTTTTTTACTGTATGTAGACACTATGTAAATAGAGTGTGCTGAAAGGACAGCAATTTTTCTCTTGAAATGGGCAGCATTACACTTCCCCCCCATCTCTACTATTTTAAGGATATTTTTCTACCATTCATTTGACAATCCAAGAATTCCATTAGATTTGCCTATAAAAAACAGCCCTTCTCCTGGAACGGCTAGCTCTAGTGCTCCATAGAACAAGCAGGCAATTAGAATACCATTCTAGGGGGAGGCAACAAATGGCAGGATATAAGGAAGGGAACTGACTATTGGTTTGAACAAGAGCCACTGTATATCTTTAAGTGGAAAAGGAGCTACAGCGGTGCAGGGTTCTAGCCCAGCTTGTTAAAAGAATCTTGCTTTGAAATGCTGGAGTACTCCTTTTGGCTCAATCAGTCATGGGTCTGCTACTTTAACATTGTTTTCCTTTGAGATGTTGTACTTCAGCAGATAACATTATGTGCAATACCAGCAAAATAAAAACAATATTTTTTAAAAATTCAACATTGCCAGCTATGACTACATTCCTAAAAGCATCATTGTCTGTACAATAAGGAGTTATGCCACCCAGACACACTATAGAAAACATTGTGTTACCTCTTGTAATCAGGCATAGGTTCACTAAATGTCCAATGTGCTCTTGGGCTGCCAGGCACGTCTGCACTTTGAGGGTTTTTTAGGTGTCCATAGCATTGCTGTTCCAAAATACATTCTTCCTTTTGCTAATTCTTCATGAGAGAACATAATCCCTGCATGTAACGCTGTAATCCATGGTCATGGAAGTGTGATGACAGTAAAAGAATGATTAGCTTTTAGTATGATGAGAGGGAAAATAGATTAAATATTTACAGAGCCTTTCCCCTTTAAAATGTGTCATTTGTATTCTCTTCCATTTCCAGAATTTCCTATGCACTTTGATCCAAATAAATACAATAGTATAACTGAGAGCTGCAAACAATTCCTCTAGTAATTTAATGATCAAGTTCTGCTTGTTTCATTGACATTTGAACATAGCAAGGACATGACTAGCATCCACTTTCCAATTATTTTTTATTATTTATTTAGGCCAGGATCTGCTCCCAGTTACTCAACCTTGTGTCTCCGGCTTGCAACGTGTCCAAGAAAGCGTTTGTCATCCGTTGTCAGCTTGATATGCAGGACTGTAGTGATCCAGGGCAAAGAAACTGTACTTGTGCTACACTGTCAGAGTACTCTAGGCAATGTACCATGTCCAATCAAGCAGTGTCTGATTGGAGGAGTGCAGACTTCTGCTGTAAGTTATCATGTTTTACTCCACAACTTTACTTATATGTCATATAGATAAAGAATGATTAATGTAATTTTAAAAAGCCTCTAGGAAAGCTTCCACCCATATAAATCAAGGAGGGGTTGGCTTGGGTTGGGTTATAGACCCTGGGATGATCTTCGAGCAAATGGTAACCTACAAGAGTCAGAGTTTGGTATCCCGCAAAAAAAAAAAAAAGATGAATTTATAACTTAAATTGTGTCCCCGTAGCTCAACAGCTAAGTCAGCTGACCAGGTCACACATTCCTAAAGCTGTTTCTTTATCAAACACCTTAAAATAATATTTCTTTTAAAGAAACAAACCATATTCTGAAATGCTTGCTTTTGATTCTTCTGTCAGCTAAACTGCAGTGTTGACAAGCCATTACAGGCAAAGTAATATTTCATCTATTAAGAAATATGCAGGAACTAACCATTCAAATTAATTTCAGTGCTTGTCCTATTGTTTTAAATTATTGGTCATCTTAGCAAAGGTGCTATGCTACTTTCAGCTACACCTGTGCTAATTGTTTGCGTTTAAACTCAAAACAATTCAATTCTCCAGGTTAGAGGTTTCATTACAAACACAAATCAGATCAGGCTCAGCAAAAGTCACAAATGGCTAGTTTATGTTTGCATTATATTTTAGTTTGCATTGAAATCATATGAAATGACTAGTTATGAAGTGAAATCAGGTGAAGCTAGGCAGCATCAAGTGAATTTTGTTTTGATGTGTATATTTCCTTGTAACTTTAAATGGAGCTCAAGAGACTGAAAGTACAACCCTTTATGGATCAAAATTGTTTGATTTCATCATGCCTGTTTTGAAGTTTAACAAAGCAGGAGGCATGATGTGGCAAACCTTTGGCAAAGGACTCTCAAAAAGCATATTCATTAATTTTAATTACAACACAATGCAGCCCAGTTGAAAGCTTAATGGATAAGACAGAAGACAGAATTCTAGGCAGAATTTTGGGAAGAGATCAAGATGCCAAATGACACTCAGTGACATTCAGAGTCTAAGGCAGTGAAGCATATCCCTCTGAAACTCCAAGCACCTAGTTAATGGGAAAGTTGAGCTGCCTCACACTCTATAACTGGTGTTCAGTACCCAAACATAACTTATTTTTAAAAATAAATTGCTTTAACAGGAACATCCTTCTCCTTCCTCCTTATTCTGTTACATGTAACTTCAACATCTGCTACTATTTATTTGGAGTTTAGCATGAGAAGGGAGATGAATATAATCCAGACAGGATTATATTCCTGAATCCAGTAATTGACTTCTGATGTTTTATCACACGTTCCTTATTCTCACCTTGAAGGCCTTGTATCCTCTTGCCCTGCCTACATCTCTGATCTCATATCCGTCTCTTTGCTTAGTCCCTGTACTCCTCCCAGTCTTCATGTACGACTGCTCTCCAGCTCTTTGTTACACTTTTGGCTTTCTGCCTTCCATCATGCTTCTCCCTGTGCTCAGGGAAAATCTCCTGCTTCCTGCATTCCAAGTGTCACCTCCCACTCCCACTCCTCCAAATCCCACTTCTTCCTGGAATTGTTCTTTTCTTCATCCCTCCAATATTCTCCCCCCAATCTCCTTTCCCTAAATAGGTGTCCCAGTTTTGTTTAGCATTCGATTTGTCTTGCCTCTTTTAGATTGTAAAGTCCTCAGGGCAGCAAGCCTTTCCCAATCAATATTTGTAAGGCACTGTACATGTTTACAACGCTATATAATAATGCTCATTAATCATACTAAAAATAATATCCCCAGTCTAGCTTTTGTTACGACAATATTAATGTTGCAAGCAGGCCATTCACTTAAAAAAAAGTTACTAGAACTTGTAGTTATAAAAAAAAATCGAAAGTGAGGATATTCAGAGTGAAGGTTAAAAAACAAATATTTGCAAGTTAGGAAATAAAAATATTATACTCCAAAAAACAAGTGTCCGAAACTCTGAAAACATCAAGGGTCTGATTATCCCCTGCTCTGCACCATTCATAGTCATTGATACTTGTGCAAAATAGGTGCCAAATATTACTTAATGAGCCTGGCAATGATTTTGGCAGTAAAAATCACTACGTAAGGTGCAAGGCAGTGGAGGGTCTGGTGCTTGAAATTCCAATGCTAATCTTAACTCTCCCTTCTCCTACTTATCTTTCCCTTCCTGATGGGAGAATCCTACTAGTTGTCACATGAAAAACTTACATGTCCCCTGTTCTGTATATTAATAATGCTATAGGGTAGGATTTTCAAAAGCACCTAAGTGACTTAGGAGCACAAATCCCACTGAAAGTCAATAAGATTGTTCCTGAAGTCACATAGGCACTTTTAAAAACCACACCTATGGCTTTTATTGTAACTGATATAATCTGCTCTCACTCTCCCAGCCGGTCACAGATACAGAGGGACCTCAGGCTCATTTTTCAGAAGTGTGCATGGTTTCAGGGGTCTGACGCCTATAAGTGTAGGGTGCATGTAGAAAAGGTGATCTGATCTCTAGCCTTTGTCTGGAATATGTGGTCTCCAGTACGTCTGGGATAAAGAATGAAAAATGAATAGAGTGGGTGTCTGGGCTATGGTGAGGTGATAGACTGGGGATGGGGAGTGAAGGTTCTTGTGCTACAGGAAGTGCCAGATACCAGGAGGGTCGGGAGAGCCTCATCTCCAGTCTCTAGGGCAGGTAAGAAGTTTTCCTTTGTTCATATTTAGAAAGATGCCTTAATACTTTTCATTGTTGTTGTATTGCAGCTGTAGGAAAATGTTCAGCTGACCAAATCTACAAGGAGTGTGGTTCTCCATGTGTTAAAACCTGTTCCAACCCAGAGTACAGCTGTTCCAGTTACTGTACATATGGTTGCTTCTGCCCAGAAGGTAAAGTCTTACCGTAAAACTAGTATTGATTTCATCATAAATCATTCATGCAAATAGTTTTGGCACATATCCAGCAGACAAAAATTGTCCATTTAATTAATACACCACATCATGGTATTGGACACTGTGCTGCTGGAAGTGTCATTTCTCAGATGAGATATAAAACTGAGGTCCTGACCCCTTGGGGTCATTAAAGATCCCTTGACACTTTTTGCAAGAATAGAGAAGTAACACCCCCATTCTGGCCAATACGGGATAATTATACCCTGCCTACTTAAAGTTCCCCCCTATAGTTTAAATTGGATTGGATATAATTAACTTGTTGTGCTAATCTCTTATGTGGTGTTGCCATGCGCTGTTAGACAGTTGCCATCCAGAAGTGGCTGCATTTCATTGGTGAATAGAGAGATTGTGCTTTGTTATGCAGAGTTTGTAAAAGCCCAAGGCATACTTCAGGTTGAACTGTTCTACAAAAATTCAGTTTATTCCCATTCTTCTTGGACATTTCCTGACATTTCAGTAGTAAAATGTAAAGCTAATACATTCCCATTACGTGGCCAAAATCTGTTATTCTTTATAGAGACTTAATCTTATTCTAAATAAGGGAGCTAATATTTAGCAGATATGGAAAAACACACTATATACAACACCTCTGTGTCTGCACAAAAGGCTGTGCTGAAATGCCACTCTCTGAAATGTTGCCTCTGCAAGACACTGGGCACATAATATAACAGTTCTGAGTGCTGAGGAGCTATGTGGTAGCTAAGCGTCTGAAAATGACTATCTATCTAATTTATTTGCTTCTTTTGATAGGTACTGTTCTTGATGACATCTCAAAAAATCGAACATGTGTTCCCATTGACCAGTGCCCGTGTACACTGAATGGGGAGAGATATGATCCTGGCGTTACCATGAAAGCAACATGCAGGAGCTGGTGAGTGGTGGCAGATTTCTTTGAAAAGTGTGGAAAGCATCCTGGCCAAGTGGCTGGAAAAATTGACATAATTGTGGCCCAGACTTTCAAAGAACAAACACAAATGTGTTTACATCAGCTGTACACAAATCTGTTGTGAACACTCAGGACCCTACATCTGCAATTGCTGATAGAGTAATGTATGCCTAATTTTCTGATCTATGTGTACAAAAACAAACGTGGCCTTATTCTGTGCAAATGTGCAATAACTATCACCAAAGTTATTACTAATGGTCAACTTTGCTGGCAATCTGAGCAGGAGGCTTTAAAGCACTGAATGGGCTGCGGGGACTAAACTCCCCTTTTACCACTAGAAATGGTTCTCCAAGGTTAGTGTTTTAATAATTTGGTGTTGCAATGTGGAGAATATTGCTCTACTGTTTTCCATGCTGCATCTATTCTGCGGATAAAGAAAGGAATTTGGTCTCCAGTGCAACACTTTTCATCATTGATTCATTTATGATTTACATGGCTGATGGAGACCCAAGCCATACAAGGTGTCACGGGGTTCACTGACCACAGTGGTGCTTCCTGCTGGCCATACTGGAGATTAGCTCTGCCAGCTCACACTTGCCCTCTGGTGGTATCTTCTCCCATTGTCTCACTCTGGAGCCCCACTCTCAACCTCAGGAACTGCAGCTTCCTCTTTGTGGCTTGGCACTCTAGCTAGGTCAATAAGGTCCTCCCCTTCTGGGGAACAGTCCATCAGCAATCCTAGGCAGTCTTCCCCTATGGCAGCCCAGTTCTGTGCCACACCCTTGGTGGCTGGTAGCGGAACCCGGGCCCATTCTCTTCTTCGGGTTCCAGTCCAGGGACCCTCAGCTCAGCAGTTCTCGGCTTCCTCCCTCTGGCCTCACTGCTCCTTCCCTGGCCTTCTTCTTACCCTCTGTTTCCCCTTCTTCCTGGGTATACCAGCTCCACCAACCCTCCTCCCTCTTCCCAGGGAGTGACTGCTGACTGCTTTTCCCAACAGCCCTATCTGTAGCCCATTACCTGACTTTATAGGCCCTGCCTGTTCCTTTCACTCAACTAACTGCTCCCTGGCTCCTCCTCTAGGTTCAACCTGTGGAGCTAATTGGCCTACTCGGCCACCGTAACCCCTTCCAGTCTTGTGTGAGGTGGACACCCCATCACACAAGGGTGTCATCAGCTACAGATTGAGATAAATAGTGTCTACTAATATATTTAGCAAATGATAATGCAAAACACAAAAAATTCACAGAGGAAAAGAAATATATACATATTAATATATATATTTCCTTACTAAGAAGTTATTGAACATTTAGAGCCAAAAGAAAAAAAAAGAATTCAGGAGATAATGGAAATGAAAGTTTAGAACATGTAAGGTACTATATCATGTTGGCTACTCATTGTGGCATACATCAACCACTATCCAAGATGATCAATTTAGTCAGCTTCAGATTTCCACAGTGGAAGAGCCTGAGGCTGTCAACTTCAAAATATTGCTACACAGAGATATGACCACAGACATGCTGTTGTAAGGCAATCAAAAAACAACAACCCCCCTCCCCCCCCCCCCAGATAGTGGAACCAAATCCTGCTAGACTGGTAATAGTCATTTAACGCACATTCTTGTTTTCGCCAGTAAATGTACAATGGGCCAGTGGAATTGCAATGAACTACCCTGCCCAGGAAGATGTTCCCTGGAGGGAGGCTCCTTTGTCACCACGTTTGATTCCAGGTCATACAGGTTCCACGGAGTCTGCACATACATCCTCATGAAGGTAAGCTGCAGAGATCATAAACTACACAAGATCAACAGAAGGGAAGTGTCATACGTACAATCTACCTTTATTCCCACCCCCCCATATAAACTAAAATCTTCCAATGACCTCCATTTATCCCACATATCATACGTGATGCCAAGTAGCAATTTGGTGTTGAAAAAGCTGGCAAGTGTTTTGCATTGTTGCATAATGTAATGTCAGGAAACCCCAAAACTCCTAGCATTAGGAAATGATACTATGCACAATTGGCTTTGGGATAATTTGTTAACTTTATAACACTCTATAATCATTATAAGGATGGTTGAAGCTGTCAGGAATAGTTGTCCCAGATAGATCACACAGAAGTTCTTTGTTAAATTTATTTCCAACGTCACTTCCAGGTCCAAAGGGTAAGATTATATAGATGTAAAATGAAATCTTTATTGTAGTTATTTGATAACGTCTCAACAGTTTATACTCAATGGCTCCAACTTGCAAGTAAACATAATTACAAAATGGAAACTTTGTAATTCAGAATCCATCATAAGATTGACCAGCAATTGCCACAGGTAAAAAATATTTACTTACAGGGCTGCCCTAGCTTCAGACAGGTAGAAGATGCCATCAGCTTATTCATCACCTTGGAACAAACAGAAACCTGAAATGAAATTTACCCTGGAACAGACATTGAGTATCTGCCCTAGAAAGGGCTGCCACTTGTTAGAGGAAAAAATACTATTCATAGTTTAGTTGAAGTCTTGCTGAGAAGGGGAGATTGGTTGGTCCGCACTGTTTTTGTTAAAGGAGCAGAGATAAGCAGCAATTGGCCACCAAGGATTCAAACAGCTTAAGTTGTTTCTGGCATTTGTATCACCAGTAAATTCTCTTAGTAACTAATAAAGGGCACAAACTGCAAAAATAAAAAACCCCAAATCCAAGGATCGCCAAAATAGGTTTCCTTGATGCAAATGCTGATAAGAAGGTATTGGCTGTGAATGGGTACACAGGAAACCCAATTTTTTGCATTTCATCCCATACATTACTACGGCCATCATTAAAAAGTCAACATTTGCTAACAGTGAAATCCTAGTATCTGAGACACAACAATATTTCCCTATACATAGAATGGGATAAAATTGCAGTATCTAAGATATCACTGGCTAGTAACAGTTGAAAAATGTTGACTTTTTAATGCAGCTATTTTAAATATTCATGCCTAAGTGTCAATGTTTTAGCATTTAAGTAACATGTCAAAATCCTGCATTAAAGGAACCCACACTTGAAAACTGAGCCCGCCATATTCTCTTTTTAAGAGAGGTTGGAGAGACCAGGCTGTCCCCAGTGTTAGTTTACTTTGAGAAATGTGCTGTGATACAAGAAGGGTCACTCTGTAGAAATAAAATGTTAAAGATGTATTGGAAATGCACCACAGAATACCTTCTTCCTCCATTGCTTCAAGTTCACTTACATTTTGTGAGAATGAGAAGGGTTACAAGGAATCTTATACAAACGCCACCAAAAAGTGCAATTTCAGGGTAAAACAGCAAGAAGAATACAAGATTCTGTGGTGATAAATGGATTTGGGGTATAGTTTATTTTTTCCCCAACATAACCATGTTTTTTTGTTTTCCTTCAGAGTCCCAGCCTTCCGTACAATGGAACCCTGATGGCTGTGTATGATAAGTCTGGTTACTCTCATTCTGAAACATCATTAACTGCTATAATTTACCTTTCTACAAAGGTAAGAGTGCAGTACACAAGTCCTATGCAACATTCCAGTAGCCAGTCTATCAAAGTTAATGTTCAGAGGCATTGCAGGTGTCGTCATATGAAAATCTGGGGAAAGGGGGAAAATAGTTGCTTCAAATGGCAGTGTATTCCATAATGGAAAGATAACTTCAGAGAGATGTGTAATGTCACATCAGTTCAGCAAGTTAGGGGTGCTGAACATAGAGTGACCAGTTTTACAAAGTGAAAAATCAGAACAGGGTGGCAGGATGTCTGCTAGGGAAAGAATTAATGAGTCTTTTCTCACTAAATATCATGATGACAGTAATAGTCGATTAAAATAAAGATAATAGAAATACCAACTCTCTCCCACTCTGTGGGTACACTGGATTGCCTGCAGGTCTCAGGAAGTAAGAGGCACTTGGCCTTCAGCCCAGCTATGCAGTAATGACTCAATTAATGTCCAGATTGAGACATTTTTTAATGATGAAGATTAATTGAGAAAAGAAGCCTGATAACAGTTGTAAAATAAGTTAAGGGCTGTTACAAAGAGGACTCTGATCTATTGTTCTCCATGTCCATGGAGGGTAGGACAAGCAGTAATCATCTTAATCTGCAGTAAAGGAGATTAAGGTTAGATATTAAGAGAAACTTTAACTACAAGAATAGTTAAGTACTGGAATAGTTTACCAAGGGAGGTTGTGAAATCCCTGTTACTGGAGATTTTTAAGAATGGGTTGGACAAAAACCCATCAGGGATGTCTAGTAGATTTAATCCTACCTCCGTGTGAAGGGATGGACTAAATGACCTCTCAAGAGCCCTTCCATCCCTACATTTCTATGATTCGATGACTCTGTGCCCTCTTCTTCACAGGACAAAATTGTGATTTCTCAGAATGAACTTCTCACAGATGATGAACTCAGGTGGCTGCCTTTTAGATCAGGTACAGAACAAGGGAGAACGCGGAATGTGCAAGACTGGATTAGACATTTCATTCATCTGATTTTAAAATAAATAGATAAATCAAAGTAATTATTTTAAATGATCTAATTTATTTTAGGTGACATCACCGTTTTCAGACAGTCCTCCACCCACATTCAAATGTATACCACCTTTGGGCTGGAACTAATAGTTCAAACTTGGCCAGTGTTTCACGTCTATATAAAAGTTGGACCTCTCTTCAAAGGCAGAACCCTAGGTAAGAAATCCAGTCTCCTCCACATTTCATTATGAAGGAGGGAGGCGGTGAAATTGTGTCTTTTAATGGCCATTGTATAATGGATAGACTCTTCCTATGATTCTAAAAAGCTACAATGGAAAGCTATTGTGTGTTGATAAGAGCTTTTTTCCAGAAACCTTAACAAAAGCAATTGATAGAATTTGAAGCGGCACAGACTAGGCGTGATATCCACACTCTTTTTTAATAACGTTGATTTCCCAACCTATCTTCTACAAGGTGTGCTTTGTAAAAGGCAAGAGTGCCTGTGAAACCCTGCCTTGTTCAACATGTACTTTACTACACATCAAATGAGTCAGGGCACCTATATAGCCCAACCTAATTCATGGTGCATCTTAGAAGATTACATTGATTATTCAAGAACCCAATGGCTCTCTTGATCAATGGGCACGTTAGGGGATACACGTATTCACTGTGCAGCGGATTTAGCCAAGAATACATATTCTGCACAACTTTTTGTTTAGAATGCTATAAGCAGCACCAGATCACTGCATGTGCAGAAAGAGCAATTTCTTCAAGCTCTCAAAATTCAGCCAAATCAAAACCAAGTTTTACTGGAACACTCAATTCCAGTGCTCAGTGAGGGCTATATTCCATGCCACATTCTAACTTTCTATACCTAATTGTTTTGATGTTAGAGCCATTAAAAAAAAAGTCACAATAACTTTTTTCGGTTGGAATTGGGAGAGTATTTTCTCCCTTTCTTTTTATTTTTTAAAAGAACTGAATTATTTTTCTCTAAAAAACTTTCCATACAAATTCACCTGAAGGAAGTGAACAGACTTGGTGAATTTTAATTTACTAAGTGAAACAGACAAAGTTATGAGTGATTGAAAAACAGTTTTATAACAGAAATGCTTAACCCATTTAATCTATAGTAGTCATTACCGTTCCAGTTATAATTACTGATACATTTTATTATTACTATACAGCAAAGACATATCATTATTAGTGAATAAATGTTCCTTGTTTTTCATTCATCCCTTGTGTTCCCCATGTCATCAGGGTTGTGTGGCAATTACAATGGAGACACTACAGATGATTTCATGACCAGCATGGATATTATTGAAGGAACAGCATCCCTGTTTGTGGACTCCTGGAGATCAGGGAACTGCCACCCTGCTGCAGAGAGGGACACAGACCCTTGCTCTATGAGTCAATTGAACAGTAAGTCGAATGTCCTGACCTATCAGATCACCCCAATTGACTTGCTCTTTCTGAATGATTACCATAAGCTCATCCACAAGGGAACAGAGGGTCTAAGAGATAAGAAGAAGAGGACTGTACATCACTGATTCCTTCATCTATAGGAAGATGTAGATTTCTAGAATATACTTGTATAAGCCAATCTATGACAAGATCTCTCTCTAAAGATCTGACTATGGGTTTGAAGTACCTTTGATAAGTTGGAGGAGTTCCTCTTGATACTCCCACTGATATCCTGAAGTCCTTTGAGATCTTAGTCTCTGGCTTTCCAATTCTGTGACTGAAAACTAGTATCACCTTCTCAATGAATTAAATAAGACAGACACAGCCACCTCCTTATCTCTTATTCTTGACCTCTCTATTGCTTAACATCTATGACTGTTTCTCTCATTTAGAAATGTCTGCAGAGACCCATTGCTCCATTCTTACTAAGAAGGGCACAGTGTTTGAGAAATGCCATTCTGTGGTGAATCCTGCTCCTTTTTACAAGGTAGGAGCTTCTGCTAAAGTCTTGAGGTGAGGCAGTGAGAAGCACTACATGGTGTGGGAGCACAAGAGGGGCTTAGGACCAAGAATCATTCAAAAACACCTTTCTCCTAGCCAGGCAAGGTCTGGTATGATCACAGACTGCTATCCCCCAGTCACTAGGAAGGAGAGGATAGGTTTTTTTCTCACACAGCTAATTGATTTAGTATTTCCCAAGAAACTTCCCCAAATGAACATCGTCAAGGGTATTTAACCTTTTTGAGCATAGTTTTCCTATCTGTAAAATAGAGATAATGATACTTACACTCAGCTTTGTGGAGCATTTTGAAATCTAAGGATGAAAAGCACTGTATAAGTCCTAAGCAGAGCCAGCTCCAGGGTTTTTGCTGCCCCAAGCAGAAAAAAAAAAAAAGTCGCAATCGCGATCAGCTCTACCACCGCCGCTTCAGTCTTCGGCGGCAATTCGGCGGCAGGTCCTTCCCTCCGAGAGGAACCGAGGGACCCGCCGCCGAATTGCTGCTGAAGAGCCAGACGTGCCGCCCCTCTCCATTGGCCACCCCAAGCACCAGCTTGCTGGGCTGGTGCCTGGAGCCGGCCCTGGTGCTAAGTATATTTTACTTACATCAGCCACTCAGACAGATATGTTCATTTTCAATTGTTCCGTGTAATCTATAAAATGCATTATTTATTTCTGAGCATGCTGATGACTTCCAAACATCTGACCTAACAGAATACTCTGTGTTTGTTTTCAGAGATGCATCTACCAAGCCTGTAACTATGAGGAGACCTTTCCTTATATTTGTTCTGCTCTGGAATCTTATGCAAGAGTGTGTGCTTCAATGGGGCTGATCCTTGTAAACTGGAGGGACACTGTAGACAACTGCAGTAAGTGACCCCAACTAGCTCATAAAAGTTTGTAATCAGATGCATATCTATATCATCTCTGCTACCTAGAAAACTCAGAAAAACATTCCTCCATTTGGAAAATTCCAGTGTTTGATATGGAACAAAATTGGGCTGTGCTGTCCTCTCCTGGGTTAAGATCAGTTCCACTTCTAAAATTCTCTCTAAGCTGCTGAAATATCATTAAGTATCATAGAGTAGTTTCAGGCACAAAAAAAATCACTTTTGTAGGTAATTCTACAGAATTTGCATTTTAGGAGTGGTTTGATTTCATAAGGAATGTATATGCAAAATATCCCAAAAAGTAGGATGTTCTCTGAGCTTTATCACCAACTCTCATGGAAGAAGCACAAAGATGACTAAAGTTACTCATGAAACTATGAGTGCTTCAGCACACACAGCTCTATAGTCATCATCCTTTGGTATCACCCACAGGGTCAGTCGATTTTCCATCTAGGGGAAATCCTGCAGATCCTAAGGTTTCTACAAAGATGGCCTGCAGGGCCTACTCTACTCCCAGAGACCCTCCTGCTCCTCACAGCAAAGCTCACTAAGGAGCCATGCTTTGATTGAGAGAGGGACTCTCTCTCACTCTGAGAGAGGAAAGCAAGAGACAGCAGTTAACACTGAAACTGTTGGCATTATATAATTCAGCACCTTCCCCTAGCTCCAGCACCCCTTTGAGGGGAGATCAGGGAAATGAAGTGTAACTCATACTCTTTTCTTCATTTTACAGCCATTTCCTGTACTGGCAATCAGACATTCAGCTACCACACTGAAGCCTGTGATAGGACGTGCCTGTCACTTTCCGACCAAACCCTGGAATGTTATCCTACTGACATCCCTATTGATGGCTGCAACTGTCCTAAAGGTACCTACTTGAACCACAGAAGTGAATGTGTGCGTAAATCCATGTGTCCCTGCTACCTGGAAGATAAGAGGTTCATCCTGCCTGACCAGTCAACTATAATTGGTGGCATTACCTGGTAAGTTTGTGAGTTAAAAGAAATGAACATACTGCAAAGGGAGGGCTTGTTCATGTGTTTGATTTTGTCAAACTGCAGAGATTTTTTTTTTTTTTTTTTTTTTACAATAGGCCTGTTGCCTCCCCCTTTTTTTTGTTTTGCTTCTTTCTAAAAGAAAGGTGGGTCCAAAAGTTTTGTTTTTTTTAATTTGGTTCTCTTTTACCTTGGAAATATTAGGCACATAAAATCTAGTCTTCCCTGAAAATGTTGGAGAAGCACTAGGAGATATAAGAATTATGCTGCCAGGTGCTGTGCCAACACATAAACAGGATCCCTGCCTCACATTGCATACACTACTGACATTGCTGGTTATAGTGTTGCAGTCCAAAGAGTAAGCAGAGGCATGTTGGCTTGTATTCCATTTTGAAGGAACTGGGAGGCTCAAGAGGCATAGCTGGAATGTTTGTTTCTTGGAAAAGGATGAAGTCATTTGACAAAAAGCCTGAACATTGTTTTCTTAGGAGGGTATCACATTCAAAGAGGAAAAATTAAAACCATAAAACAACTTGAGCTTTAATTGTCCCATTTAGTAAGGGATGTACACTGAAATACTCTTTTCTTTTCTAGCTATTGTGTTAATGGAAAGATGAGTTGCACTGGTAAACCTCAAGACCCTGCAGGTATGCATTTGGCTACAGTTTACCTTCACCTTTAAAAGCATTATTTTCCCCATGTAACGGAATTATCCCTTCATAACTTTCTGTTTCTCTTTTTTTTTCCGCTAGAAAACTGCAAGCCTCCCAGAAAATATGTGTCATGTTCACAGAACTCAGAGAACAAATATGGAGCCTCCTGTTCCCCTACCTGTCAGATGCTGGCCACTGGAATTGAATGTGTGAGTTCCACATCTTTATGATCACATCTCAGTGATGGAAACACACTGTGAAAGGAAGGATGGAGCAGTGGTTGCCTGGGGCTTGGGAAGACCCACATTCAATTCCTTGCTCAGTCACAGACTTCCTATGCAGCCTTGGGCAAGTCTCCTAGTGCCAGATTTTTAAAGATATTTAGATGCCTAGTGGAATTTTCAAAAGCATCTAGGAGCCTAACACCCATTAAAATCAACTCGTTTTTAAAAAAAATCACACAAGGCACCTAAATACCTTAAAAAATCTGGCCCTTAATCTCTCAGTTCCTCATCTGTAAAATGGGACAATAGTACCTGCCTAAGTCACAGAAGTGTTGTGAGAATAAATACGTTTCAGATAGGTATTCTGATACCACTGTAATGGAGGCAATATAAGAACTATCAATAAATAATAGTGAGACAGTGAATCTTCATGAAAATTGCAATACTTACTTAATAAACTGCCCTGTAGATTTCCATGCCAAACAATAAAACATGATATATCAAGAAATAGATTTTTTTTTTTTTTTAATTTCAAGTGCACCAAATGTTGACTGATTACAGGAAAAGAGTTACAAATCACAGTATATATCGATATATATACCTAACAATATATATATTTCATAATGTAATAAAGGTTTCTTATTAAATAAAGAAACAGCAATTAGCAGAATTATAATGTAACAGACTTCTGGGCTGGAAAGAAACATACATTATTCTTCATTGTCTGAGCAGCTGGTACCCATGAAATACAACTTTTTTCAAGGAGTCCCCAGAAAGCTTATTGCCTCAGACACTAGTTATATTTTACAACTGCAGTAAAACTTGTATAACAGGGCATTAACTTGCACAAGTAAAAGTGATTTCAGTAATAGCACAGGCTGGCTCTTGGCACCAAATAAATAACACAAAGCAAAACTGAAGAGAGGCTAGAGGTCAATAAAAACAAAATGTTTCAATCCATTCTCTTTACATTCCTTTCCTTCATGCATCATTTTTTATGACTGATGTTGCAATTTCCTGATCTTTCCTAGGTACCCACTAGGTGTGAATCAGGCTGTGTCTGCACTGATGGGCTATATGAGAATCTAGATGGAATGTGTGTACCACCTGATGAGTGTCCCTGTGAATATGGTGGCATCTCTTATAAAAAAGGGGAAGAAATCCACACTGAATGCAAAACCTGGTAAGAATCTACAAGTTTTCTCTTTGCTAGTTATTTATTTGTCTAGACTGTACAAGCATACAGTGCAACAGTATGGCTGCAAGGAGAAGAAGAATAGGTAGCAGTTGAGGGTCGGAGCTAAACAAATTCTGCCATAATGATAAAGCGTGAAAGTGATAAAACCACGGATAACTGTGACAATGTCTATATCTAAGAGGAAAGGTCGTGGTCTCCTGGTCAGCCACAAAAAGGATAAGGCTATAATGACAATTGATGCTATCTGCACATCCAGAAGCAGTGTGGGATCCAATAGCGCCCTCAAACTATAAGCCATACTAGAAAAGTATATCAATTCCACCACAATTGAAAGTGCAAGCACAATCCTCCTCCCTTTCTCTAGATAGATCAACTGACCCATCGATATTACTTCCATCTTTTCTAGCTACATTCTCAATCAGCAGTTGCTACCATTTCCAGTTCCACACCCATAGGTGATGGACTAGGGGTGCAGGGAGGTGCGGCAGCACCCCCTGACTTGAAGTGGTTTCCATTATATACAGGGTTTACAGTTTGGTTCAATGGCTCTCAGCACCCCCACTATAAAAATTGTTCCAGCACCCCTGTCCACATCTTCTCATTAAAATAACCAAAGGGACAGCAAAATCTGCTTTAGTGACAAGAAGAGCTGTTTACTCAAGGCAATGTAACCTGTAATGCCTCATGTTTTCTCTTTTTTAAAGTAAATTAAATGGAAAAATATACTTAAAATTTCATCTTTAGTATGCATTAATTTTCACAAAAATCAGGAAATTTGAAGTTACAGTTCCCATATTAATCATAATTTGACCACATTGCATATATAATCTAAGTCAATGAAGTTAATACAGCATATATGAAATGTGTGTATGTAGCGATGAGTTAAAGCTGCATGCCCTTGAAAACTTCCTAACAAGAATTTTCTTCTCACCACTAGCACCTGTACAAGAGGCAAATGGAAATGTGTTCAGAAATCTAAATGCTCCTCAACATGTACCCTCTATGGAGAAGGACATGTCACCACTTTTGATGGACAGCGCTTTGTGTTTGATGGCAACTGCGAATACATACTAGCTACGGTAACATCAGTGCTAGTGCTTCTTATGGCAATGTATTCATTGCCAAGAAATGGCTTGATTTATGAACTCTGACATATTTAGGGCTCATTTCAAGACCTCATCTGAAAACCCCTTATACACACACACACACACACACACACACCCCAAACAAAAAAACAAAACAACACCAACCATAGTCCCAACATTTTATATGAAATCACAAAATGACACTAAGAAAATTTCCTAACATACTTGAGTGCCTGTGGATGATCTACCCACATAGGCATATTGCACCAGCTAGACAGTGTTTTCTAATGAAGTGATGTAATTCTTAAAACCAAATCAGCAGTTTGATCATTGGTACTTCCAAGAGTAACACCATGCAAGGGTGCAGTACCCTACTGACTCCCTCCTTTCCCCCTGCAAAAATGTGGTTTCTGAGATGGGTAAAATGCCCAAGCTGCCACAAGCCATAGAATACCCCAATAGCTGAGGGATGCAAGTATACAAATTCCACTGAAATGATTTCCTTGATAACTGGATTTGAAGCTAGTCAGAGATGGAATTATAGCATGCTACACAGTGAATGGGGATATTGTGTGTGAGGCTGGCCTGTTTTGCTGAGAGGCAAACTCCCTGAAGTGATAGTTCAGCACATTGAATCTTCTTGTTCACCCTGTTACTTTGAACTCTCAAATGGTTAAGCAATTCTGTTTCTCTCCTTTAGGATGGTTGCGGTATGAACAGCTCTCACTCCACCTTTAAAATTGTGACTGAGAATGTCATCTGTGGGAAATCAGGAGTCACCTGCTCCAGGTCCATCAAGATCCACCTTGGGGTAAGAACATCATGCTGCTGTTATCCATCCGGGTTGGACCTCATATCAGTGTAGGAATCTACAGTCAAGTCTTATAGGGCAGTCTACTTGGTGACCTAGAGCTGTGGAGTAGGGTTTGAAATCCCTATCTCAGTCTTTCACTTCCCGAAGTTGTGGTCTGTTTAAAAGCCATGAGAGTAAAGCCTTGGATTTTACCCTCACATTGGAGAATCCTGCAACGGAAGAATATCAGTCATGTTGCCTGAGCCACAGACTGAAGCCAAGAAGGCAGTTGTGTGAAATTAAGGAAGACTCATCATGGTCAGCATATGAATTCTAAAAAATCCCTGTAATCCAGCTAGTGGGCTTTGGCTCCAATTGCCTATAGTTCTTCTACTATCTCACTGCTGGTGCATACATAAACTAGAGAAATTGATTATTCTTATTTTCTCTGTTACCAAAGAACTTCCATCCTCCCTTGTAGGTTTGTGGTTCTTAGTCCTGAGGGAACCAAAAGTACATCAATATCAGATTATCTCAGAGTCATGCTTCAATAGCAAACCAAATGAGGACTGTTGGGGTTTTGACCAGGGAACTATCACTACATACAGTACACACTTGCCACCTGGTTAATTAGCAACAGCAAAGGCAAAATGCCAATGCTTTACTGAAGAAGCTAGTAGCTTCTTTTGCACTTAACTCCTAAATACTTGCTCCAGAGGAACACTATTATTGGTTCAAAAGTAACTGTTATTGTGCACCACTGCTCTCAGGAAAGATGTAAAAGTACAAGAGTGCATGAAAGGCAAAACTGATCAACTCAATATTAGCTACCATCTCTCTATGTAACTTTGCATCTACTCATTTTAAATCATGGAAATAAAACTCTGTGCTTCAGCCTGCTGCACACAGATAAAATAAGTGTGATGGCAGTGTTATATACAACAAAACAATCCATTACAAAGTGCTTTTGCACCCTACACTGACCATGAAACATGGTGGGTTTGTTTCATGTTCATCAAAACTTGCATATTCATAGAACAAATCCAGGCAGCTGGGGGCAGGCTAGGTTTTACCTTTGCATGGGATAGGTGCAGATGGAAGAAGAGAATAATGTTTTGGCATCATGCACTGCTTTGCTTTCTTACAGAAGCATAACATAGGCTACATCTACACCTCAGAAATGATGTTGAGAAATAGACACTCTGGGCACATCTACCCTTAAAACACTGCATTGGCACAGCTGCACTAATGCAGCCGCGCTGCTGTGGTGCTTTAATGAAGATGCTCTACACCGAGGAGAGAGTTCTCCCATCAGCGTAGTTAATCCACCTCCCTGACAGGCAGTAGCTCTGTCTAGGGGAGAAGCTCTCTCACTAACTTAGCGCTGTCTACATGGGGGGTTACACTCATGGTTATACTGATATAGGTCCGTAGTGTAGACCAGACCTCAGGCAGAGATGCTCATCATCTAAGGACTGTGACTCAGCTGACAATAAATAATTCTCCAAGAGCTAACCACAATCAATCAGTTCAGAAAAACAGAGAAATGACAATCTGTAGCAGCACCCTTTAGTGATTCCTGGTAATGTTACAAAGACAGAAAGGGACATACTGAGAGATATATTATAACTTACAGGCCAATTTGCTTTCAGAATATGACACTTATACTGGCAGAGGAAACCTACTTTGTATATGGGGACAATCCTCTGACACAATTCCACGTGAAAAAGAATGCCCTTCACCTGATGTTCGATATCATTATCCCAGGAAAATACAACATGACTCTTATCTGGAACAAGCACATGAATATTTTCATCAAGATCTTCAGAGAAGCACAGGTAATTCAAAGTAACTTCCTAATAAACTTTCCTTAACTTTCTTTGTTAAATACATTTACCCCCACATTCAAATCAAACTGTACATGAGATGGCAATTGTAACAACTTTCTACAGCAGCAGAAGTCTCCTAGGAAGGCCTCTCATAACTCTCATCCCTCCTGGAGCAGCAGAGATCTTCACTGGATGCTGCTTATTAGCTGCTTACCCAACTTCACAACAACATGAATCTTTGAGCTGATAGTTCATGTGTTGTCCAAATGACAACACATCCTTTCATCCCCCAGAAGGGCAGGGAAATTTGTACAGGGCATTTGAATTTATTTTGACCTCATAAAGGTGCAGATTATATCTCTGTTTGTGAACACTATTCAGGAAGAACTCCACTATTTCCTTCCATTGTTCATTTAACAAGAAAGGCTGTACATACAAAAAACTAACAGTATGTGGCACAGTATTTATAGATTGCAATCGCGGATCAGAAACAGGAAGTAGTGCAGATAACAGAAAGATACACCTCTACCAAGATATAACGCGACCCCGATATAACACGAATTCGGATATAACGCGGTAAAGCAGCGCTCGGGGGGGGGGCTGCGCGCTTCGACGGATCAAAGCAAGTTTAATATAACGCGGTTTCACCTATAATGCGGTAAGATTTTTTTGGCTCCCGAGGACAGCGTTATATCGGGGTAGAGGTGTGATTCAGACAATTGGTTGCAATTAGCAAATAGGGGGCAACTTGATATTAATGCTTTCATTTCTTCATGTAGGATCACCTCTGCGGTTTGTGTGGGAATTACAACGGGAACATGAGAGATGACTTTGAAACTCGAAGCAAATACGTGGCAGCAAATGAACTGGAGTTTGTAAATTCTTGGAAGGAAAATCCCATGTGTGGGGATGTGTTCTTTGTAGTTGATCCCTGTAGCAAGAACCCTTATCGTAAAGCTTGGGCAGAGAGGAAGTGTTCCATCATCAACAGCCAGGTCTTTGCTCCATGTCACAGTAAGGTAAGCAAGTTTTTGGCTTCTTTACACATAGTCTACAGTCTTCCAAAGGATGATCCCCTCACACTTCAATGTGTACCTTCCTCCTCCCCAGGATGCATTAATGCCACATGCATGAAATGTATTCTTGCGCCTGCTTCACTTTAATGTTTTGTACCTCCTGTTTGTAACATGTCTTCAAAAAGTGAACTCAAGTGAGAAATGTGAACAGTGTTCATGTGTGTCCGTGCAGGGTATGAAACTGCTGAATTTTGGTGCCTCTATTTTAGCGAATGTGTTTTGCTGCCTAATCACATGGAAACTATATATAGCTGTTTAAGTACACATACGGCTCTAGAGATATCCTTCAAAATGTCATAATTTTCTATTGATATTTTGCAGTGCCTAAGTTTTTACTAAAGATTACAGTTTGAATTGGAATTGTATTATTGCTGTGCTTATTTTACTACACAACAACTAGAGGAATAATTCATACTCTCACTTAGCAGAGCAGATTATGTTCTGAATGTTCTCCCTTTACCCTGAGCTAACATCTGTAGTTTAGCCCAGCTAGAAACAGGAAAGAAACTGTATTGATCAATGCACAGGTACAAGAGAATCCTGGTTAACCAATTTATTCCTTCTCTCTCAATCAAAGGTATACCGCATGCCTTATTATGATGCCTGTGTCCGAGACTCCTGTGGGTGTGACTCCGGAGGAGACTGTGAATGCATGTGTGATGCCATTGCAGTGTATGCCAAGGCATGCTTAGATGTAGGTGTCTGCATTGACTGGAGAGCCCCAGAGTTCTGTCGTAAGTTTCTTGAACACCTTTAAAAAATGACATATGTGATTTTTATTACTAGCTTTTGTTTTCAATTCGTTTTACGCTTTGCCCAATTATAAAGGGGCTTAAGGGACATATTATTATTACAGGATTAAGGTACATTGATGGGGCAGCATGGGGGATTGCTTGTGTGGCCACTTCCCATGTTGTATCTGTGCTCTAGATAAATGGATGACTTCATCCTGTAGTGCTCTTAACCTTGCACATTTCATCAGTATTAACCTCACCAGAAACACATTACCATGTCATGCAGAAATGAGGGAGAAAAATCTAGTAGTCACAAATAATAATCTTGCAATATATTTTCCCTGTTGCTACTGCAGAACTGACAGCCAACTAGACAGTAGAGGGAACACAATATTGTAAAAAAAAAAAAAAACTGTTCTCATAGTTGTGATGAAATCATCTTTGTGCTGATTGCAAGGAAATAAACAGAGAAAGGTGTGTTGGCTGGGGCTCCATAAAGCAAGAAAAATTATCAATGGTTGCTATATAGAGAAATTTTATGCATAGGCTTCACAGAGTATTATAATCAAACCTTTAAAGCTATAGTTCTTGATAACTTCCATTTAACACATCAATATATTATACATTACAAATATCTAAATGCCTATATCTGCCCCTTTTTTATGAAAGGAGGAAATTAACTCACACCTCACTAGAACACAGATTCAAATCAGTTCACCCACAGTCGAGGTTGGAGGGCTTACCTTGAGTCACCAAGTACCATTGAGTCGCTTTCTTCCTCCTATTCTGAATCCTTTGAGGAATTACATTCCATAAATTGAAAAATTCAACCTTTCATTCTGTTTTTGCTTTTTTTCAGCTGTCTATTGTGACTACTTCAACACACACCGAAAGTCAGGCAGTGAGAGCACCTACAGCTACAATTATTGGGATGAACAAAATTGCACCTGGCATTACCGACCTTGTAATTGCCCACAACAAAAGTACAAATATGTCAACATTGAAGGTAATGATTTCACAGGTTCAGGGTTAGCTGCACTTTTGACCACTCTCCCACCCCAGGTCTTCCTCGAGGACACCCACTTATGGTTTCAAGCTCCTAGCCTTCATGCCTCTCAGGCAGAGCTCTATGCCTCTCTCCCTCCAGACTCGGGGTTTAGGCTTGCAGTCCCTCTCCACTTCACTGTGATTTCCTCAGCACGTTGGACCCGGGTCCAGTACCTGTAGTTAACCTTTCTCCAGGGGCTACAGCAGTGTATACCAGTTACCACTAAGCCTTCACAAAAACTAAATACATGTATTCTTAGGGTAAAAGCATTACAGAGAAAACACATAAAAACAATAAAAGTTCTTACATGCATGCTAAAAACTTCTCAGAGGTCACCCATCAGCCTTATAGGGTCCTAGTAAGCCAAAGTTCTTCCAAAAGGGTCCTGTCCATTTGCTGAATCAGAAGAAGGCCCTGTGTTAGTTTAAACTCAGGCATTTTATACGAGAAGTCCGTTCTTTGTCTGGTGGTCTCTGGAAAACCCAGTTGGAACCAGTATATGCAAGCTCACTTGGGTGTGACACCTCTCCAGACGTGTTTACAACCTGAGTGATTCACTTTAATCACACCTCACTTTTTAGGTTCCTGGAGGAGCTGTGGTAACCTCCCCACCTGGAGTTGCATACAATCCCTGGCCTACAGTGTTACATAAACCATTCATTAATTTAATACAATATGGTCCCCAAAGATATTGCATGTGGTTGCAATATCTGTCACAATGACTTTATAAAGCTGAAAATAATAACGCAATAGTTATCTTTATTGTATTAACCAATGGTTAAGACAATGATGTTTCCATTGGCATAATTTTTGGAGCAGTGGTTACATAGTCTTACTGTTGTATGTTCATCTTCACCTTCTCTTACTAATATCACAATGATAAGTAATTGACATAGACGCCATAGTACACTGAGTGCTTCAATGAGCTCAGCCTGTCTTGAATGTGAAGCTTCTAATTCTTAGCATATCAAGAGAAATTTCCTTAAGGAGTTTGTAGATGCCACTGGTTAAATGACAGACACAGCTTTTGGGCAATACATGTTCATTTTCTGTTAACTTCATATTATTGTATTAGTACCTACATGTTTAGGAAGAAAGGTTATAGAAAACTGCTATTATCTGAGGACTGAGTAATGTACTTCTCTCCACAATCTCCAGGCTGTTACAACTGCTCACACAATGAATACTTTGATCACGAGGAGGGACAGTGCAAGCCCTGTAGTAAGTAGAGATTTATACAGTCATTCTCTTTCTCTGCAAAAGCTAGAAGCATTAAAAATTGAATAAGCTGAATACTTTGAAGGAGGAGTTTGTTCTTAATAGCTATTGGTTAATAGTGACTGCTCATCCAAGCACAAATCTCCTCTGTAATAATTGCGTTGCTCTACTGCTAACTCGTCATCAGATGGTTAAATGAAAACAGGCAACTAAAAAACGTCAGGCTGTGAAGCATTGTAAATTCAATGGTAGTTGGAATGCTCACATTGATTTTAATAGTTGTGATGAAAGGTTACCCTCATTCTAAGCTTGAGCATTTTATAAATGTCTCAGTGCTCCTGAAAATAACTGGCTCCCTGACACCTTTCCCACAGTGAGCGGAGTTCTGGCACTGGACAGAATCCAGTTCCTAGACTTTATCTAACAAGTTCCTTTTTCTAACATGCCTGCTTTATATTATTTTTGAAATCTTTACTACTAAGTGGTGCCCCTATATCACAGTGTTGGGGAATCTTATAAAAATATAGATAGGTAGATAATATTACAGATAGGCCCAAAGCTGCAAAATTTGGATCTGCATCCAGATGTTGGATCCAGGGCCATTTCTATGCTATACAATAACAACCTTCATTCCAGCCTCCTAGTTATTGGGGTTATACCATCTGCAGAAAATCCATATGTATTTTCCTGAGAAATAAAGCTATCCTTAAATATGAACATAGTGACAAAGACAGAAAAAGCATGGCCATTCAAACAAAGTACTGATTTCCTCAATATTGTTTGTTTCTACTGAAATAAAGATTTGCAATGAAATGTATAAGAATTGAGCATTTTCAGGGATGTCTTGCTGACTGTTACAATTCTTTCATTTTTCACTCATTCTGTAAACTCTCCCCTTTGGAATAGCTTCTTAATTTGTTCTCTTTCACATGTTAAAACTTTTCTTCTATCTGTACACAGCAGGACCTGAGCCCATTAAGACGACCCCTGAAACCTCTACACTGTCAACAGGTTAGTTCTGTAGTCAATGGAAATAATATGTGATATAATAGTCACATATTATCGTCCAGATATATATTATTGACTTCTCATTTTCAATAGTAAGCACTTTTTTGTCCTTGTAAGATTATTTCACCTTCCTCTGAAATGCTTAAGATGCAATAATGAAATATATCCTGGCATTATACAAAACTCTCTTGAACGTTTTGTCTTAAATTCAGAAGGAAGTTATAGCGGGATTGTGATTACTGAATGCTTCAAGACATTAGCAATGAGATATCTCTACTGGTTAAAATTCAGGACAAGCTGAGGTCGACAAAAGACAATTATCACCTGACTTGGCCTACTTGTATATTAAATTAATCAGTAGTCTCAGCCCAGTTCTTAGTGGAGAGGTATATGCATCACAACTGTGACTAGTTGGTAGTCTTCAGAGACTAATGACTGATCACGTCTGGAGATCAAACAGTCTCTCAATCTTAGAAGTGCTCATTCTACATAACAGTCAAGACATACTCGTCAAATATGTTAAAGAGATCTAAGTTGCTGACCCTTACACTTGCGTGGAATTCCTATTATGTCACTGGAATTCAAAGCAAGTGTATATCTTTGTAAAATCAAGGCCAATGTAAGGGCAGTGTTGAAAAGATTACAGTGCCAACTGTCCACACTGTAAAATTCAGAGGATAATAGACTAATTTCCATAGCTCTTAGTCAGCATTATTTATGAATGCTGACATAACTTAAAAGTATATTGAAGAAAGAAAAAATGAATAAAGTTTTTGTGACATCTTCCTACTCTGGGCCATTTATCAGTACATTATTAAGAGGGACAGAGAAGGGGAGGGTAGTTAAGTTGTGTCAAATTGTGTGTGTCTAATAAAAGATATTTGTAATATTACTTCTTCCTAAAATCATTTTTCTATTCATATGACATACATTTATAGAAATTCATTATTAAAAAATATTTCTTGTACTCAATATCCACATTTGTGTTATTTTTTCTTGTAGTAACGACAACAATACAAACTAAAACACCAAGAAGCACTACTACAGTTGAAACACCAACTACTACCGTACCACCAACAGCCACTACATCTACAGAGTCCACCATGCACACTATTTTAAGCACTACACCAACCACCCTATTTACTACAAAAGTAACCATAAAACCAACACCTATCACAATCAAATCTACTACTCACTCCATACCAGTAACCACCATTACAAAAAAGACAACACTGTCAACTACCCCAATCATAACAGTAACTGAGATTACTTCACCAATAACCACCACCAAAACAACCATATCTCCAACCTCAGAAACACCAATCACCCCTACAGTCACAGTCATCTCAACAACTGGTACGTTGTTTTGTTTTGTTTCTCATTATTGCCATTGTTTCAATTAAATTACATTTATCCAATTGTCTGCATGTTTAAAAAAAGTACACTGTTAAGAAAAACGTGTGTAGGCTGCAGAATGGAAGCATTTAAAAGTGTGAAGTATATGGGGTTTTGTGTCACTACGAAATTCAATCCATATTCAAGAAAGACTGAGTTTATGAGAGACACAGGAAGCGCCACTAATTTTACCTAGACTTAATTCCCATTCTGTTGTACAAATTGTACACTCAATACTGTGCTCTTTTAAAAAAGATTTTTGCAATATACATCATTTATGCCTAGAGAACTGAAAATCTTACCTATTCAAATAGCACTGAAGATACTAACAATTAATGTTTTGTTTGTTATACAAATGCCATGACTGTGAAATTTTATTGTGAACAGCAGAGGACTCTAATTTCAGTTTGTCATGCACTAAAATAAATACTAAAAGTAGGAGCATCCTCAACTTGCAAGAGCCGCAATTGCAGAGAAAGTCGTGCTCCGCACCAGACTTGGACATGAGCAACGCAAATAGCATCTTAAGGGAATTTAGCTTCTAAAAAATGGTTAGTTACCGGCATTGTAACTATTGTTCTTCAATATGTGATGCAGATGTGTATTCCATGTGGGTGTGCATGCACCCAGAACACAGAAGCCAGAGAACTTTGCCTAGCAGTATCTATATTGGCAGCACTTGCACCCTGTGGCCCTAGTCCGTTCCCTGGCTATCTAAGGGCAGCACCTCCCTCACCCTCCTAACTTCCTTTGCACCGAAACACAGACCCCAGTGCAGAGGGGAACACAGAGTGGGTTGTGGAATGCACATCTGCATCACATCTTGAAGAACAACTGTTATAATATCGTTAAGTAACTTTTTTTTCTTCTTTGAGTGTATGCAGCCATGTATTCCATGTAGGTGACTCACAAGTAGTACTCACAGGAGGTGGGGCTTGGAGTCTATTTAAACAAGGACTGCAGGATTCCCTTCCCAAAGTTTTCATCTGAGCTGGATGCAGTAGAAACAGCATAGTGGTTTGTAAACATGTGTACAAAGGACCAAGGGGCAGCCCTTTTAAAAGACTGCAGGGTCCCATCAGTCTTTTCTGAAAACGAAACCCAACCATCAAAAGTTAAGTCCATCAGATGCAATGTCTGAATTCTGCAGCTACGAGGCCCTCCTCATGATCACATCTGATGCCATGGATGACTGTAACAAAGTCTTGGCTACAATAAAGCCCAGTGAAATTAATGCCTTAAAGTCTTCCCTGGAGGATTCTGGCAACTTGTCCTCAAACTTAGACATGGCCGCCCAATTAACAAAGTTGTATTTAGAGAACAACTCCTTCTGGTTCATGATGCACATCTGGAGGAAATAGTAGAAATAAATCTTCCTCCCCATCAAGTCCATCCTTTTGGACTTCTTGCCCTTAGGCATAGATTTATACCTTCCCTGTTGTGTCCTGTCATTTTCTGCAATTACCACAAGAATTAGGGGCCAGGTGGGAGTAGAAACCCTCAAAACCCCACATGGGGATGAGGTACTGCTTCTCTGCATGTTTTGCTGTGGGAGGCAATGATGTGGGAGTATTCCAGAGGGCCTTTGTAGGCTCCAAGAGAGCCTCATTTATCAGGAGGTGGATGGTGTGATGAGTGAAGAATATCCAGGACCTTATGCAAATCCTCCTGCAGAAATTCAGCCTGGATGCCTAAGAAAGTGGCCATATGCCTCAGGAAGTCCTGATATGCCTGTAAGTCCCCAGGCATCAAGGAAGAGGAGAAGCCTGGCACAGTAGAGTCATCTGGAGAGGACGAAGAAGTGGTTTGCAGTGCCAACAATGGATCCTGTTCTTGAACAACAGGAACCAATCGGATAATCCTGAAGGCCCAGAGGGGACAGGTTCAATGGTCACTTCTAGCTGCAATGGTTCAGCAACAGGAGCCACCAATGGGACTGGCGATCTTGCTGTGGAGCAGGTCAACAAATGAGACCTCAAAGACCAACGAGCATCCCAAGGAGGCCACTGGGCAAATGAATATGGCATTGGTGACCAGTGGGCACTGGGCCAAGAGCCCTGTCTTGACTGCGAGAACAATGCCAATCTTGTTACCCATGGTGATCCAAAGATGGTCTCTGATGCCTATTGGGTGAGGAAGGAGGGGAGGATGACACCTGGATTTCAAGGAGTCCCGGAGAGTCCCTGTTGACAACAGGAGAGCCATCCCTGATGAGGCAAACAAACAATCAGACTCATCCAAAGTCCAAAATGGGGACAGCATCAGTGCCGAAGAGGAACAGGGACTTGGCACCAGTGGTACTGAGCAAGACACACTTCCACCCAGTACTGGAGGAGGTGCTGGCACTGAGGTCAACAATGGTACCAATCTCGATGACAGGATCTGCTGCCAGGGCAGTGACTGTGTCAAAGGATGCACCAGCGTTGAGGGGGACTTTGGTGCCGAGCTTGGTGTCAGCCTCAATTCCATTGTGGATGGTATGAGCTGCAGTGCCAATGAACCCGGCAGCAATGTGATATAGCTTGAAGGTGCCAAGGGCACAACGGAGAGCAAAGTGATAGAAACTATGTCACTGGAAAACTGCTGAACTAGTAGAGAGTCAGAGAGCGAGGGGCAAAGCAGGTCTGAAGTCACCTGATATGCCACCAGTGTGGAGACAGTCAGTGCTGATGCTGACGTCATCAGTACTGGACTCAATGGACACCCCCTGGCCAGAACAAGAGTCGATGGTACAGGCTTTTGCTGATCTCAGAGCAGTACTGGGGAGCAGGTAAATGGACCTTTTCTATCCCGCATGCCAGAAAGAGTACAGTGCTGGTCAGCACTCCTCTTGTAAAATGAGAAAGAGTCTCCCTGAGCCCTGGAGTGTTCCCAATTAGTTTTATGGAACCTCTTCCTCCCTGCACCAGAGAAGGGAGAATGAATCATCTTCCCTTTGCGGGAAACAGCAGGGTTTGAATGTGGAGCAGCATCACCTGCCAGTTCCAAAGGCAGCCACCAATTACACCAGGGCATCGATGCCAAACCAGGCCTCATAAGCTGCTCCAGAAGGTGCTGCTTCAGTTATAAGTCTCTTGCCACCTGAGTCCTCTTTTAAGTGACTTACAGATGGAACACCATTCCTTAATGTGTCCTTTGCCGAGATATAACAAGCATCTCATGTGGGGATCACTATTGGGAATGCCCCCCCCACACACATGATGGGCAATGCTTGAACTCTGGTGAGGGCGTGACACACAGCAGCCAATTACTCTAACTACCGCTACACTGACACTAAACTACACCTGAGATACTACTAACTATTATCTAGAGGAAAATAGAAAAATCTCTCAGAAAGCTGAGACTGAAAATGTAAAGTCTAGCTGAGGGGGGTGAGAATGAACTGAGTGGGGGTTGGGGTGGTGCAGCCATTATATAACTAAGGGAGGGGTTAGGGCCACAGGGCATCAGCATTGCCCCTATGGTACTAGTAGGCAGAGTTTTCTGGCTTCGGTGCACTGGGCATGCTTACCTATATGTAATACACAGCTCCATCTACTTGACTAAGAATCAAAGAAGTCTTCACTGAGGATGTGTGAACTGCAATTTTTCAAAACCTAATAACATGAACAAATTTTGGCAGATTTTCCAGAAAAATTGAGGTTGATAAAGGCACAGGGAATAGAAAATTTCAGCCACATAATTGAAGTTGACAAAGTTATAGCCAGCTAGAAAGAGGGCTTTACAATAGGAAGCATTGGGCAACCTTAAAAATAACTGGCATTAACAGCTACACCTATCATTAGTTCATAGTTTGCAAAATTATCAGTATATTCTTCTATATATCACATTATTACTATTATATTAATATAATATATTTTCTTTAAAAAGCAAAAAAACTTACAACTCCACGTATGACAACAACCATTACAACACCAACTATAACAAAGACATCACCAACTACTTCATCAACGCCTACTCCTTACACCAGGTCAACGAAAACCAGAGAAACAGCTACGCCAACTACACACATGACTGAAACTCTAATAACGACATCTCTACCGACAAGCGCAACGGAGAGCACAGCATCAGAGTCCACCACTCCAAGCACCGAAACCAGTACAACCGCCACACCAACTACACCCACAACCCTCACTCTCACCATGACTACCTTGTCCACTAGCTCACCAGAGAGCA